TGTTTACAGTCCTCCATATCTTTAACTGTTCTACCTTATTCACACGTTACAATTTATTTTCATCGCTTCAAAGTGACATTTGTAGTTTTGAAGATGCAAGTCGTTATATTGAAGAAGTTCGTATGGTGCACGACATAAACAACCAAAAACTAAATTAACATTGAATTTAAATCTATCCTTGCATGCGTTTCAGTTCATTCTTGATGAAGTCGAATTTCTTCAGCCTATCAGAAGCTAAGTGTCAGACGTGGTGTGGACACCTGTGTCGGTGCTATGAATTGGGCCTTTATCAAAACACGTGTTGCTGGTGGGACAATTGCCATCTGCAAACACTAAACAGCGAGAGGGAACAAAACAACCACGCGGACAGCGGAGAAAATTTTTCAAGGTATGATTTGATTTTTGTTTTTCCAGATCTCAGGATCGTTTCAATTTAACAACCACATTAAATGATACCTTGAAAATATGCAAAAGACAATTCACTTTTATTGAAAGCAAATCGATGATGTTGAATTTCTTATACGCTTTCGTCTTTAAACGGTTTCTTGTAAAAAAGGAGAATAGATGAATAAGGTCACTTTATTCTCTCGCTTTCGAAAAATCTTTTATTCTTAACGATGATTTTCACTCTCTTTCGAGAGAATTTTATTCAATCTGCACGGATTCTCTCAAACGTATCAGCCACGGACTACATATGTATTCTGTTGTGACGAGGTCCTAATTATAATCTCACATTCTAAGTTATTATCAACAACTCAGAAGGTCGTGCTATTGAGCGTAAGATCAACTATTGGTACCTCAAAGCAACCGGAAAAAAGCAACATGTCGTTAGTCGATGATCAAGTGACTCGTGTAGAGATAACCGCTGACGCACAAGCTTTTGAAATATGCAAATTAGTTATCGCTAGATTGAAAGAAAAGCGAAAATATCAGTTGACCGGATGTTATCGGTGAAGTATTTTTGAACATGCGAGTATTCTTCGTTAGATTGTTGCGAAAACGAAACATTAAAATAGTTTCTTCTAGATCATGGCGGCTTGGGTATTTCGCTTCCTTGTTCAGAGACCAAAACTTTGTTTCGGTAAGTGATTTTGAAAAGCCCTTGTTCACAACATAATTTTAAAATTCGCAACGTTTACTACACAATTGTAATATGTTTATTTTTCAATTGCATCTACAGGATTGACTTTGGGGGCACATTTCGTCTTGCTTCTGGTGACGGGTTCGCTATATCTTTCGGGTTATGACATTTTGCCGGCCGATTTTACTCAAGTTCCCTTGAATCTTGAACACGATGTGACAAAACTTCGCGCAGATGCTTGGAAATTCGCACGGCAAGATTCCCGAGTAAATATAAATCCCACTTCCGTGGGAATTCAAACCGAGAGAACTATTCAATATGACGTTCTGGAATTGATGTACGACGCTGCAAATGGCAATACTTTTACAAAGCAAAATTTGGAATTCATTCAAGAGGCAGAAACGGAAATCTTCAACAATTCCATATATCAGCAACACCTTTGTCAAATGCTGGAAAATGGCCTTTGTAAACCTCCCTTATCTATAATTCGATTCTTTGACGGAAGTTACAGATCATTTCACGCGGATTTGTTCGATCCAAATTTTGAGAACATTTCAAGCGTCCTATCTTTGGCAAACTCGATAAACATAACTCGAGCTATACTGGATTTTCATTTAGAAAAACACGCCATGGTTCATCCATCCATGCCAGTTCATTCTCGATATACCAGGTCGTTATTTTACATTGGTTATCCTCTTAGAGGATTCCACAACACTGAAGACCGAGTCGACAAACAGTGGGACCAAGCTCAGTTATATTCTAAGGACGCATTTGCCGAACTTTTAGATGTGAAATTCAGACAAGGAATTGGGGAGATGAAATTTTATTATTTTCTTCGCGCGTTATTTTTTAATGCCATTTCTCAGCAGGTTATATATGATCTTCTTTTAGCTGGTGCTAGCTTTACATTTATTTTTCTATTTATGCTGTTTCAAACTCAGTCCATTTGGATAACAGGTTGGGCCGTGTTCAGCATACTTACATGTTTCTTCGGCGCGAACATCATCTACCGGGTGATATTGGACTGCCGGTACATCGGTATTTTTCACGTACTTTCCGTGTTTATTATTCTCGGTATTGGGGCCGATGATGTGTTTGTATTTATTGACACGTGGAAAGCTTCAGAGTCAAAGACCTTTCGTGATATGGCAGCAAGGATGTCGTTTGTCTACCGACGAGCGGCTAGTGCCATGTTTACCACATCGTTCACAACTATTGTAGCCTTTGTGACTAGCGTCTTTTCTCCCCTGTTGGGTGTGTCTACATTTGGCATATTCTCAGCGCTCCTAGTGTTCGTAAATTTCTGCTCCGTCGTTATTTTCTTTCCCACTGTCATAATAACTTACGAGTTTTATTGGAAGAACTATCGTTGGCATTGCTTCGGGGATTTGAAAGCGTGGCAAGCTATAAAATCGCGCAGAGAAGACATTATTCAGGGCGAAGTACCGGAAGAGGAACAGCAGGAAGACAAGTTCGTTGAGCCTAGTAAACTTGTCAGTAACTTCTTAGGAAACAGGTTTTTTAAAAACTTCATTGCGCACGGGACAATTCGCTGGATAATCCTAGGAGTGTTCTTGGTTTTTCTTTGCGTTTCCATTGGATTTGCAACACAGCTCACCCCAGACGAAGAACCGGTAAGTGTTTGATTGATGCCAGAGATAGTTTTTGAAGCATGGTCTAGTAACGATGGGGCGTCTGTGCAGTCCCTAAGAGTTGAGTGCTAATATAATTACTTGACAAGGTAATAACTGTGATTGCTGTGTGGTTACGTTAAATATTGAGGTTCCTCAGGACCAAACTTAGACCCGCATATTCTAATTTTGATGTCTTTTCCTTAAACGGTTTCCATCCATAGTATTATTAAAGTGGTTAGAATAACTTATATCAGATTGTCGAACGAATTATGGAACCAAATGCAGTTCACAGCTTTGGTTTACCATTCATTAGTACTCTTGAAAATTTTGAGGCAAAGTTTGGAAGACAGATATAAATGCGTCTACCTATTCAGTTTTCTAGTAAGTGTCAGAAAGATTTATTTTAAAAATTTTAGGAACTTTATTTAAGAATACAATTTAGCGACTTAAGTGCCACGAGTGGTAGGCATTTGGTTCTAAATACAATTGCCTCTCGTAAATATTTTCATGTTACCTCAGATGAATTAAAAGACACTTTTGCGGCAATACTAAGGCAACCATGAGGAATCAAAGCCGTTACTGTGAGGCTAGATTTAAAAAAAATTCTCTCCAAGAATAAATATATCAGGACTGTCACATATGACGCTAATAAATGAGAAAGTATTTTTGGCCCTTACTGCACTTGCGTTTTGGACTTCACTTCTAATAATGTGTGAAAAACACTTTTCATAATTAATTTTTATCGGTTCTGCGAACAGACTGAGAGAGAACAGCGGTTTAAACAAGTGAAGCCCGTTTCATTCGCCGCCGGTTTGTGCCGGAACACTTATTTCAACTTTACATCGTTTTTCTTTTTCAGTATCGACGTTCTCATTGTCCTGCGTTTTGTGATGCGTTTCATTCAACATTTCAGGTCTATCGCATTAAATGCGGTTTTTCCTTGCGCTTTGCGGATGATAAACCTGACCGGGCCAAGACTTCCCGTAGTTTTCGGAAAACATATTTAATAACATGTTTAAAATCTTCAAAACCTATCTCTTTAATTCTCCATTTTTGTGGAAAAGTTTCTCAAAAGACTGAAATAGAACCAATTTCTGCTATTTGGATTCTTTCATTAAAAAAGTAGCTGCTGAGCTAAACAACTAGACATAATTAAGCATGTTTATTTGTAATATTTTTTGGAACTGATTCAACTAATTCATAATTAATGGGAAAAATTGTCCTTCTTTGAGTATAAAGAAGTTGAGGACTTGCCGTCGCTTCAACGGAAAGGAAAGTTGTTCAAATCACATCAGTGTAGTAAACGAGCGGGGCCCAAAAGAGTTCAATTGAATTTGCCATAAAATTTCTTAAAGAACATTTTATTGGCAAACGGGTGAGTAAATTTACATTGACTTATGCTGATTGATGGTCAAAGGAAAGAATAAGCGATTTCGATTTCTTTCCTTGGGAACTACTGGAACTTTTCTTTTATTGTCATATTGTATTGAATTCCGTTGAATTCTAGCATCAACGGCGCAAATAATTCATTGAAAAAAAATGCCTCAGGTTTTCTCATATTAAATGAAGGCAATTCCACGCGAATTTCATTTTCCGATCAATTTCATCCGGGTTTCTTCTATACATTGCATTGTTATCAGCATACGTACTAACCTCTTACAAACCGAGCCTGAGGGCCACGCTGGTGAGTATCGATATCAAATTTGCCGGCTTTCGCGAATGAAAACACGTGGCTTATGACCGTGGTTTATTTTAAGGTGGCTCGTACCAGTTTCCTCGCGCGGGGAACAGGTCACTCTTGCGTGACGCGCGCGAGAGAAACGTGCGAAAGAAGCGCGAGATCAAAAGATGAAAATTCAAAACAAAGATGGCGGCGCGTGGAATTTTTTCTACTTTTGTGAGAAGTTTACCTAAGAGCTTGTATTTGATGTGTTGAGCGGCCACTGTGAATGCAGGAGATAGAAACTAAGATAACGAAGACGATTTTCGGAGAAGTAAAGGTTGCTTCACTTCACATTTAAAAGAAATATTCAACCGATTTGTCAGCGGTAGCTAAAACAGATCATGAGCAAATGTCGATCTTATAGAATCCAGATTTTTAAAACGCGCGTGGAAATTTCTAAACTCACGAAAGCTATTGCATGAAAACAAGTCCATGACCCCTTCTTTTTATTGTTCCAATATGATAATAACGTCGAAGGGAATCATCAGAAAAAAAAATAGAAAATTCTATGGAAGGAAATTTGTGATGTGTGAAAATTGTCCTTTTTGCAGATTTTCTGAAATTCCGCTCCGTAGAATTTTTTAAAAATCTTTGTGCATTTTCCTTTTCAAGTGCCAAAAGCAATCACTGAAAAAAATCAGGGGGTCACCGGGTTAGTTTTCGAATTATTTAAGCCACAAGCTAAAAAATGCGTCTGAATAAGCCAATGAAAGCGTTGCCATGGAAACTGCTAGTGACGAAATGACACTTATTTTTGAATAACCAATGATTATGTAATTCAACCCCTTAAAAGTGTTCAACTGGCCTTGGTCAGTCTTTCTGTTGTATTCTTTCAAAGTTACAAACCATCAAAAAGATGAAAACCGGTACGAGCCACCTTAAAACGGTCCGCGTATGGTAAAGCCCGACCGACTAAGAACCAATTATAACGCTCCATATATTTTTGTAATGAGGTTCGAATAACGCGCGCCATCATTGGTTAAAACAGCGTGCTCTATCAGAGTAAAAAACATGGAGTTGAGCTAAAGCTGTCAAGCCATCTACCAATTTGTTAGTGTGTCCGACCATTTCTCGGACTTCTCTTTGGCTTTTCTTCGTTAGACCAAAGGGAAATTTTGGAGCAAGTGAGCCGGCAAGTAGCGACAGAAGAACCAGACAAATGTTTGTAAACATGCCAAGCGCCGTAACAAACGTTTTAATAACAACGTGAACAAGTTTTGAAGGTTTTCACTCTCCGAAAAGATTGTAAGCTTACGTAGGGTAATAAAAATCAAACAAAGCTAACACTCTCATTGCATATACAGTCTCGTGTTCAAAAACAAACACAAAAAAGAGTGATGAAAAATACATCGCGACCAGTCATTGTGGCTATCTCTCGTGTTTCTCCTTACCATTCTTTCGAGCTCAAGCCGCTTCTTGCTTGTTTTAGAACTGAGAACAGGGCACAGACAAGGCTTCTTTATTTGTTAAGTATGGTCAATTAATGCAAAATATGTGTGACGGAAATAGACTTAACTTTGAATGGATGTTAATTTACCAAGCTCCGTGTGCAAACAACCTACACCCTTTCTTTTCTATCACAATCAATTCCTTGTCACTTTTAACCAAAGCAATTTTTATTTACATGTCACCTTCACTGTTCATGGTAGGTGGACGTATGGGGCCCGGGCACCAATTGGTACATCATAAAGAGGTTACGGCGCTCGGCATTTCGGCCAAGTCAGGAAGATCGCGTAGTTGAGGTGCATATCATCTGGGGACTGAAGAATCAAGATCGCAGTTCGTGTCACTTTACAGACTTTAACTGCAAAGGGAAAACAGTGTTTGATCAAAGTTTTGATTTAAATCCATCAGAATGCCAGGTCGCCTTGTTAGTAAGTCATTTTCCTTTATTCATCCATCTTATAGTTCATTTCTAAAGAACGTTATACTAAGCAGCATTTGTATCTATTCGTTCATCTAGTACCATTTGGAACTATTTTAATTTTAGAAGTAGAGAATTGCAGTTAAAGATGAAATAAACAATTTTAAACAATCGAGTTTCCAGACGTTTCCATGTTTTTTACTCTGATAGAGATTTTTTAGAATTGCAGTTATCCTTGCATTTTTTATGCTGGTGTGATTTTGATATGTTTCCTTTTTTCAATTCTCGAAAGGAATTCTGTAAAGAAATAAAGAATTTACCTGAAAATCAGATCCAAAACTTGAGAATAAGGAGAAACGCCGTTACGGGTGAACCAGAAATCCAATGTTTCATGGAAAGATTGAATGAATACCTGCAGGTGAGAAGCCCTTAATATAAGTATTTAAACGAAATATCGCTAAACATGGCCACAAACTGAATGCAAAAAGGAAACTCGTTTGAATTGCAAATACACAATGTAATACTCTCTAGAAGGAAAATTAGCACGAAAACATGGAATCATCCAAGATGTTTAACTTTGATTGTCGTATATGAAGCATTGCAATATTTAATTTCATTAGGACTGCACATGCGATTTCAAGCACCAACCTCTGATGAAACGGTTTCTTATTTAGAAACAGGTATCGCTCAACGCAATCTTACAAATGCAGTAAAGGCTTATTTCACATATGTGCAGGATGAAGCTAGCAAGCCAAAGTATTCTAACAGCACTGTTTTCGCGATACCGTCACGTGAAAATGACGTACGACTGTTAATGGCGCAAAACCCTGACCTGTTCAACGTAACCTTGGTGGGTGAGATGTACGACAGATACTTTGAGGCGGTTCTTGGCTACTGGCTGACTAATGCAAATCAGTCCGTGACTTCATCTGACTTCAAAACGTTCGGTGGATTGCTGGGAGGAGCAAAGGATCCAACTGACTCGTCCTCTATTCCAAATTATCAAGGTCTAAAGTTTAGCTCAAAAATAGCAGAAATCACTGTAGTATGGAAAATGAAACTGACAGGTTACATTCTGGAAATGAGCGGAAACTGTAGTTGTATTTTGGTAACTCGCTGAAGACTTCATTAGACTTTTCCACTCTTTTTTTGTTCAGTCTGTTGTGAACCCGGTAGAGTAGAGTTGCTTTTCTCACTTAACTTTTCCTACCAAGACTTCATGCCGTCTTCAATTTTCCGCTCGAAAACACATTTTTTTATTTTAACAGAAAGACTCTGCAACACTGTGTGACCAAGAGACAAAACAGTGAAACATTACTTTCCTTAAGTGTGACGATAGTTTCTTTTTCGCTTACACACACTATCAATATCATTTACTTCTTTATTTTAGGGGGCCAGTACGGAAACAGACTACTGTTTGCTTCTGTGGCTGTGAACACGACCATGGTTCTTAGCAAGACGGGGCAAACTGAAGGACTTAAAGTGTACGATCAGTGGGAAGGCTTCGTTAGGCAAAAGGTATTCTCAATACAGCTGAAAATCATTCAGCTGCAAAATATTCAGAAACCTTCATTGTCAAAGATAAATGTACGAGCTAAGCTTTAGAAGAACTAAGCTTTAATTCCTGTGTCTTTGGTATTAACAAAGTTGTTGTTGAAAATTTACATTCAAATTAGTAAAATGATTTCTCTTACAGTAAATTACATAACGCCTGATCAGGAAGCATAATTATGGTTTACACACGACCAATCGAAAACGTAAATGTGCCATTTAATAAACAGATCACGAATGACGTCCAAATGAGTTAAGAAAAAGAAAAAACCTGGCGCACAAGTCGCAGCCGACTGTGTCACCGACGCTCTTACCTTATTTTAACGTCCTCTCTCATCTCTTATTGAACATACGCAAAGTAACATGTTAGTATTAATTGATCGTTGATCGTGAGTTTTTTCACTTTTGCTTGTAATTTGCCAAGGTATGCTTAAATATTGCAATTGCGTAATTTTGAGTCCGAATGTCTATGTTTCCTGGGTTTCAGGTCTTTTGGGGGGTCTAGGTTTGGCAGATTTTTTTAATAAAAAGCGATAAAAACGGTGCAGCTCAATTTGCTTAAGCAGATTTGTTCTAAGTTGTTGTTGACAATTTTTCACGATTGTAGGGAAAGTTTCCAGCATTTTCAGGTAAACGCAAGGTTTAACCACAGGTTTATCGTTAATGCTTATCGTTTTTGTCTAAAAATATCTAGTTTCCTGGTAGAATGAATCTCCGACTTGGCTTTCGCTCATTTTGTTAGACTTTGTCAGTTTTCCAGGAACTTTACCACAATTTCATGTAAATATATATATATAAATGTGGGGGTAGAGTCTACCTTGGCATAAAGTGCTCAATGCTGTGGTAGCAGAGCTAAGTATAGATAGGTTAAAGAATTGAAGAGGACGCATCGATTCTCTGTAACTCTGAGTTTCGCGCCTAAGCGCTCGTCAGACATATATATATATATATATAGTTGACTTCGGTCGTGTATCTTTAATAGATCCTTAGTTGGGTTTCATGTGGGGTTATGGGCTTCCCCTACCCGGTCACCTTGAAAACTTACATTTCCCGGGAGACCACGTCTCTGATGACGTAAATCACATCTTTGATTGCCGTGTTGCCAGCATGGTTGTCCTGATAGTGTAGTGGTCATCACACCTGACTAGTAACAGGAGGGACGTGGGTTCAAATCCCCCTCAGGGCAAATTTTCTTTTCAAACATTTATTCTATTAAGTATGATTACTTGGGATGTACTGGGTCACGGTTTCCCTCGCATACAGAATTTGTTTAATCGAAATTAGGCTGTATCCGTAATTGGATCCTCCTTTGTGATCCGCTAAGTTGACTTCGGTCGTGTATCTTTAATAGATCCTTAGTTGTGTTTCATATGGGGCTATAGGCTTCCCCTACCAGGTCACCTTGAAAACTTAAATTTCCCGGGAGACCACGTCTCCGCTCACGTAAATCACATCTTTGATTGCCGTGTCGCCAGCATGGTTGTCCTGATAGTGTAGTGGTCATCACACCTGACTAGTAACAGGAGGGACGTGGGTTCAAATCCCGCTCAGGGCAAATTTTCTTTTCAAACATTTATTCTGATATATATATATATAACAAGTTAAAAGGCCTCGAGCCAAGGGTGACGCCACGCCAGAAGGATCCAAGGGGATTCACAGTCCAAACCTCGATAAATAGTAGGAAAAATATTGTAGTACACGAGGACGGACAACTTCGAGCTAAGAAAGGCATATACTCAAATAAAAAGTCTAAGAAAGTTTATTATAACATAACCAAAGTAAAGCGCGCGCTCTGATTGGTCAATTTAGCGTCCCCCATTTGCTCATGGGTGTACGCTGCTGACGTGAGCAACTGCAAAGATTATTTTTCCACGCGCGCTTGTTTTTTCTGGTCACGTAAGATTTGTTAAATAAAAGGGAACTCTTTAGCTACAATGTATCAATGTTATGTTATAAAACAAATGGTAAACACCACACCGTACACTATTGAGTTATGGATGCACTTGGGAGGTTTGCTAAGCACTCAAGAAGCTAGAGTCGCTCTCGGCTATCGCCTCGAGCGACTCTTACGCTTCTTTCGTGCTTAGCAACCTCCCGCGTGCATCCATAACTCAATAGTGTACGCTGTGGTGTTTACCATTTGTTAA